TATGAATTTACTTAAACTGTGTTTACAACCTCCTGTGTGTTTCATCAACAGCTGTTTCCCCCACAGAAAGCCTGTGGAAAGTGAACAGCAAATATTTGAAATTGTAATTATAGCAAATATTTTACAAACAATCCATACACTGTAATACTTTTGTTTAAATACCTTATGAAGCCAGGGCCCCTGGCATAGATTCATTTTATAGCAGTATGGGATCTGATTCTGTTGCTCTGTGGGATCAGGCCAATGCTCAGGATCTCAATATTGCGCTGACAGGAGGGCGTGGTGTACAATTGCACATGCACACACTCAAAAATCAATTAGGTGCATACACACACACACACTAGGCACATGCACCCACACACTACCAACTCAGGCACACACACACATCCAAAATTACCAGCGTAGACACACACACACCTATCACCAATTCAAGCACTATACACACCAAAAGTTAGACAAAAATCAGTTGTCAATACCTGAACACCCAATACACATACACAGATCACTAATGCATTTATCACACACACAATGACATATATGTATATTCACCAGCTCACACACAAACCACTCACCTACATATACACATAGGTGAGTTCCTAACTTGGGTGGTGTGGTGTGTATGTGTGTGCTTAAGGTATTTGGGATACCTAGGGTGCTTGGTGACTATGAGAGGGGGAATCAAGGGTTAAAGATCTCCAGAAGGAGTGGAAGGAGGGAGATGGATGAGGGTTAAAATGAGACAGTGAAAGTGCCACGAGTAAAAGTTGCTGGGGTCAGGATTAGAACCAGCAGACTGGAGGGGAACTGGGGTTACTTAAAGTCAAGTGGCTTTAGGGTTACTCGAGGTCACTGGTGCAAGGGGAAAAGCCCAGGGGCAAGGAGGAGACATCCAGGAAAGAGAGAGAGGGAGACAGCTGGGAGCTTGGGGCTGGAAACTGAGGCAGACAGCTGGGAGATCAGGGGGCAGATAAACGGTGGCAAGGGGGAAACAGTCAGAAAACAGACAAAAATCCAACTCGGGGTTTCAAAATAACAGGTTTATTAAACTGACAACACCCTACACAGCCCCATTAAGTTATTGGTTCCCACACAGGCACACATACACACAAGTACTCACAATGGTAGAAGGAGAAAGAGACTCAGTGGAAGGGTTGGAGTTTCAGGGCAGCTAGGATCTGGAACTAACTTCCAAGGGAAGTGGTGCTAGCTCTTACCTTGGGGGTCTTTAAGAGGAGGCTTGACAATTACCTAGCTGGGGTCATATGAGCCCAGTATTCTCTCCTTCCCAGGGCAGGGGGTCAGACTTGATGATCTACTTAGGCCCCTTCCAACCCTACATCTATGAATCTATGAGTCTAGGGAGGGAAGAGTAACAGAGTCCAAGTCCTTGGTTGAAGAGAGGGTGGGAGTGATAGCTACGTATCCAGGCTGGAAGGGGGTCCTCAATGGCCAGTCAGGATCTTTGTCCAGCAGGTGTTATCCAGAGGAGGGGTCACCGGCAGGGCCTCTGGGTTGATAGGCAGCATGACATGGAGCAGGTCTGGTCCAGGTGAAGATGGCATCCCCACTGGGTCTGTCTTCACTGCCCCCTTTTATAGGGGCAGACCTTCTGTGACCCCAGTGGCAGGGGGCCTACCCAGGCAAGGGGCAGAACCTGGTGCCCTGAGCATGTGCATTCCAGGTCAGGACATGCAGTTTCAGGTGTCTGTAATGGTGGCTTGGGGGGGATCTGCAGCAGTCTTTGTCTTTCAAATCTTGAGCCAGGGAGGGTTAATGCAGGGTGATGGTTGGGTCATGGAGTTGATGGTTCAGTCATTCAGAGGAAGCTATTTTTAGACCTACTGCCAATGTCTCTCAGGCACCCTCATTCATCCCCATTCATTCAGGAACAAAGTTACATAGGAGGGGTAGGTATGAGTCACACAGTTACAACAGCGTTACAATAGGGTATGCCTGGGCAGGGGACACAAGATAGAGACTTGAAAGACGAAATGGAAACTTGACATGACTTATGCTAACTTACATATGTAGGCCTAAATCATATAGTACCAGTAAAACAGTAATATAGAACAGTAAAAATCAATATAAACATAATAATTATACAATATAAAATAGTGGATATCCATAACAGGGCACTTATTTGAAAAGGAGGAGGAAAAAAACAAAACAAATACAACTTGCTACCAAAATAAAATTCTGAAGTTTATCCTATGTCTTATAAGGCTCACTTATACTGATCTATAGGGAATAGAGAGGGAGAGAAAAAGTCAGAAATGTTTGGAGAAGGAGAGGGAATGTATTTTTAAATAGATAAAAAAAGAACAATTGGGGGTTTTGCTACAATTCCTGATCCTAACAATCATGCATGGCAGGAGTTGTGATTTTGAGATTAGGAATAAGATCCCAATAGCACCATTACTACTTGCCAGTACAGGGGGAGCCCAGAGTTGGGCACTCTCTGTACCAGTAAGTTGAAGGCTGGTTATCTGTATCCAGAGCCAACAATTAGCTGATTGTTGGCTATGCCAGACAGTTCCAGGTCCAATTGAAGACCTAGGGCTGTCCAGGGACTGGAGATTGTCAGCTAATTGTTGGCCCCAGTCCCCAGAGAGTCCCAGGTCCTGTTCATCTGGGGCTATCAGGACAGACAGTTGGCTGATTGTCTTCCCCCAGCTCAGACAGTCCTAGGTTTGAGACCCAAGGCCAACTGATTGCCAAAGCCCAGTACTGGGCAGCCCTGCCAGGGCTGCCTGACATGTTGGAGCAGAAGCTCTGCTTCCCTGTGTCAGGCAGCCTGTCCAGAGCTTTCTGGCACAGGGTTTAAAGTCCCTGATGCAAGAAGCCCTTCAGCTTTCTATCCTGTCTGTCTCTGGCTGAGCTTCTAATCAGCTGATTGTTGGCTTCCAGCCATACATTAAATTTAAGGTGCCATACAATCCAACCATAAAAATATTCTACATTACATATGAAATATTTTTAGGACCTATTCCCCATTTTATGGCATCTTAAATTGGGTTCATGTGTAATTTATGCCATGAATAAAACATTAATAGTGGCATAAATGGAACATGTTAAGGGGGCCCAGGATAGCAAGAAAGCATTTTAGGAAAGTTTTGTTGTTGAGGCTCAAAAGAGCTATATACTATCTCCATCTCAGCTTTTGTCTACTGGGTGCATCCCCGATGGAAGTCTCATTTAACAAATAGTGATAGTGCTAAAATATCAAAAAATATCACCATGGAGGATGCAGAGGACTGATATGGTTGCTGTTGTAATTTATACACTGGAATAATTGTTTCACAGGCAAGGAAGTGGTGTGAATTCCATCTCTTCAGTCGCTGCAGTTCAGGACCTAAAAGTATGTTTCTACTGTCTTTGGTAATGGAAATATGGGTTTTCATTTTTTGTGCCTATGCTATGGGTGCAATATACCAGGAAAGCTGTGTCTTTCTTCCTGGAGAAAAACTTCCAGGGACTCTAAAGAATCCCATTGCCTTGCTTGAAACAGGGAAATTGCAAAATTAGGGCTATCCAACTTCAAAGCAGCCAAGGGCCACATGGCCTATGGGCCTCACCAGCTAGAGAGACACTCCGGGGGCTGCACCAGAGAAAACCACCCCTCAGGCTGTGTACACTCTGTCAATGCAACGCCCCACTGGTACACTGTTTACCCATGACCCCCACTGCTGCACTGTGCACCCTTGACCATCCCCCTACCACTGGACTGCATGCCCACACCCCCAACATTACACTGTGTGCCCACTATATCCAGCCCCCATCACATCTCACTGTTGCACTGCCTGCCTTCAACCCCTGACCTTGAGAAGCTGCTGCTGCTCCTGCACTGTGTCCCAGGCTCACTCTTAACTCCTGCTGCTGCTGCAGTACTCCACCCCCTGGGGCAGAGGCAAAGAGCATGGAGGTGGAGCACAGAAACAGGACCTAGGCAAGAGCCTGGCAGATGCAATGTAACCCCTCCCAGGGTTCATGTAGCCTGTGCGCCATCTGTTGGAGCACCGGAAGCAAGATTATGAGGGAAATTAAATCTTGGGAAAAGGTATGTGAGCAACAAACCAGTTTGGGGTGGCCACCTCATAGCATGTATGCCGCAAGGGGTGCACACAGGTACTTTGAATGTCACAAACCAGATGGAGCAGGGAGAAGAACAATTAATCAGGCAGGCAGAAGACAGTAGAAAAAGAGATGGGGTTGGAAAAGGGTATTAGTGACATGCCTGCCAAAAGGTTTAGTTTCCTCTGGCTTGGTTTATCGTACAATCTTCTTATTCTGGGTTTTCCTCAGTAGCCTTGCCTGCTATCTAAATTACTTATTGGATTATCAGATAAAAATGGCTGTCTAGAATGTACACTGGGATATAAGTAAACACTAATGTCTAAATAATGCCTTGTGGGTTGTATTATGCTGGCACAGTTACTTTTTATTATTAAGATATAATATAAATCCACTGTTAGACTCTGATTAGTGTTCTGGATTAAAGCTGTATACTCTAATCAATAAATGAGCATCAGTGATTATGGTTTCATAAAAATTCACTTAGAATCGTTATCGCAGATTTTCTATCCATATCAGTTTTAGGCACTTTGATATTTACATTTGAAAGGTATTTTTCCTTTGTATAAAAACAACAAGTTAACTATAAATAACAAAATGACAATGGTGAAAAATTCAAGCTCTTTTTTGTCTCCAAAAACATCAGTTATTTTAATCACAGCTGTTCTTTTAAAAATTGTTTGTTTGTAAGCAAAGACAGACAGTTTAGAATATAAAACCCATATTTGCTTTCATATTTTGAGACTTATACAAAATGGAATGCATCACTATTATAAACAAATGCCGTCAATGAAAAGTCAGACTTAGTCTCACCTGAACCAGTTTAGCTATATCTTCCTGTGTCCTTCAAGCTCCCAGGTGATCCTGATTGGCCGGTCATCAGGTAGAATGGCATCAGTTAGCAAAAGCTCAACTGAAGAGATATGAGACAGGAGAAAGTTTTTTTCTCCTGTGTTTGGTCCTGAAGGGAGAGGGTAATATGCCAGAAGGAATCTTGACATGTCCATGAAATAAGGATCTAGATAGTAGAAATGGTTACAGGAGAAAAGTCTGGAGAGTTATTATTCTATACGTGTGCAAGATGAAAGGGAGCCCAAGGATAGGTAAAAGATCTTTTAGTTTTGTTTACTTTGTAACTGTTATTTAAGTTCATCATCTGTGTCTTATCAAAGGTGCAGGGGGGTTCAGCTGTCTAGTAGTGCCTTCCTAGTGAGGAGGGAGAATTGCTCTAAATAGAAGGAGTGATAATGAATATGCTACATGGGAAAACAGAATAGAAGGTCTGCTGGGAGAGAGAGAGCAAGATTTTCAAACAAAACCAGGTTTTGTCTGAAGAGTAGGTCAGTGCACCACTCTTCAGGCTGCTTTGGCTTGGCATGCTGATGCCTGGGTAATTCAATACCCCTGGAAAAATTGGTAGGAGCAATTACTTTTTTTCGAGGGTCAAGTTACCTTTTATATCTACTCTGTGAAATTAAGCATTTGATGCTTATGCATGAATTAGCCTCTCTCATCAGCATGAATCAATATCCCTATTATAATTATATTGCTTTCTTTCTAAAAACAGTTATTGCTTGCAAGTGTTGGGAATGAGTATGAAGGGGAAAATTTTGAAGGAAACTGTTTGGTTCAGGAAAAAAATGGTTCTGATGCCTTGGGCTTGATTCAAAGCACAAGAAATGTAACAGAAAGAATCCTAGTGACTTAAACATGACTATCAAAGGATCTGTGATGGGCTTATAAAAAAACTGGTAACAGTCAGTGGTATTGTATAAAGCCCTGATTCTGTGAACACAGTTGTGTGGATAAACCTCAGTTTTTGTCTTAACTCTTAAGGAGTAGTTAAGGAAATGTTGCTTTGTGAAGAAATTCCTAGTCCAATTTAATTCAAGGCTAAAAATAAAACCTGTCTTAATGCATGTGCACTCACACATGCACAATATGTTTTGAGGTATTAATGGAATGTCTTACATGGTTTTTAAAGAAAATTGTTTTACTAATATGGCACGTGCAGTCTATACAGAGAAGTAGCACTAAGCTGAGTTTTTAAAGGCCTTATGTTAATATGAATTGTGGTATTTGGTACGAATGTATTTCTTTTATGTTATAGTGCGGCCAGGACTGTAAAACATGGTAATAATTTTTTAGGTGCTATTCCCTAAATAATGATTTCATACCTGGGAAGGGATCAAAACCTAAATGGTGAGAGAAGTAATCACTGAGAATTAGCATCTGACCTAGGTATTTTAATGGTTAATTAAATAGACCCTTGTGAGTATAGTTCAAGGCTCATCAGGGTCTGGAAGAACCTGGCTCATAAATTTACATAACTGAAAAGGTGTAAATAACCTCCTGGTCATAATTAGATCAGAAAAGACTGCTAGTCTGGTAAATAGATACATGCTTGTTGAGGCAGGAAGTTATAGGAATAATATGGACTCCCCAAGAATCCAACGGCCAGATAAGGATACTTAAACCTTGTCGTGGGAGCAAGTCTTTCATTTCCCTGGGCTAGGGACGGACTTTAGACCCTCAGCCAGTAGGCTAAGTATTCTGGCAGACTGGAGAAGTTGAAGGAAGAAAGTTCAGAGGCAGCAGTTGAGTTCTAACCTGCTTCCAACATTTCCCTTTGTTTGTATCTCTATATCTGAGTATATGATTACTGATTTCTTATGACTACTGTTGGGGGGGTGGGTGTGTGTGTGTGTGTGTGTGTGTCTGTGTGTGTGTGTGTGGCCAACTGCGCATGTGCCACCAAGAGGGTGTATGCCGATTGGCTACGAGGACCTGGAATGTTATGGACAGAGGGAGTGAGGATGGAGCTGCCATGCCACCCTCCACCCCCCTCCTCAAACAGCTGGTGGGAAAAGGGGAGGAAGGGAGGGGGTGAGGGAAGCGGGCAGGGGGGGTCCAGTGGCAGAGCCCCCCTGCCACTTCCATGCCCCCCCTTGCTGCTGCTGCCACCTGGCCCTGACAACAGCTGGCAGAGGAGGAGGTGGTGGGTAGAGGGAGAGGGGAGGCAGAGGGGGTGGTGTTGCCTGTCTCCAGGTGTCAGCAGCTGCCACTGGGTGCAAGCTCCCCTCCCCCTGTTCTTGGGCTCCAGCAGCAGGGGCTGGAGGCAGGGAGTGGGGGGTGGCACTCTGTCCCGGCCCCCACCATTATGAATGATGGGCAATTTGCTAATATATATATATATATATATATATATGAGTCCTATTCTTACAACTGACCATAAATAACTTAAAGCAGTAAATAAGTTCAGAGCAATTGATCATGGAGGCAGACCTGTTCTATAGAAGTCAAAGGCAGGGATCTACCATTTTAGAGCACAGGTCTGGGCAAAGGTTTGGATCTTCTAGCTGGCAAAATCTCTTCTGCAAGGAGCTGGGAAGACCTGGGTGAGGAAGGTAAAGCTGAGGTACCTTGAGCTAAGAATTCAGCCACTTGGAACATTTTAAATCTATTCTTGGTGGGCAAGCAGCAGATAGCAGAGTGGGGTTTGGAACTAAAGGACACCCACATAGGTGTGTGAACATCCCACAAGTTTGTCTCAAAGGTGCATCTGACCAAATCCAAGGCCACAGTGTGTCATGACTTGTGTGGCCTCTCCTGAATTCTGAACACCTTTGAACAGGAGGGTCACATATGTTGTTCCTTCCTTAGGGGAGGGAACAGCATTTTCTTCTTACTATCATAATGGCTTTAATTATAGTAAGAAATTCCTTAAAGGGGTCAAGATCCAATATTCTAGATCTAGTCCCTCCTTGCTATTCTGTTATAACACACTTGCACCTGTGTATGCTCTATGTTTTCAAATACTAGAGATTGGTAACTATGTATTAATTTTGTTTCAGGGAAAGGTGAGCATGGAAAGCCATACCCTCTCACAGAAGAAGACCATGATGATTCTGCTTATAGGGAGAATGGTTTCAACATATTTGTTAGCAACAACATAGCCCTGGAACGATCCCTGCCAGATATTCGTCATCCTAAGTATGTAAACTATATTTGATGGTCTGTTTCATTTAGTGTATTTATCCATTTTCTTGGTACAGTAAAATTTCTCTTATCTGGCATGGGTGTGGAATGGGGGGGCGCCAGGTACTAAAAAATGCTGGTTACCTGAGGCCAGTGGTTTTCAGCCAGACAGCCCCAGCCTCTGTCTGGCTGGCTGGCCAGAAATTCTGGTTAATAGAGTGTTCCAGTTACTCAAATGCCAGATAACAGGGATTCTACTGTAATTGCCTCTCAGCCTAATAGGCAAACTCAGTACAAAGTTATGATGCCAGGTGGTGAATGTGTTTTGTTTAGGTAGACCATATCTAGATTTGTGACGGCAGTACAGTGGTTGGCATGTTTGGGGCCTTGCTTATTTTTTTAGAACGTTTTGATTTTGTTTTCAAGGGACTTGGTCAGTATGTGTTTGTTGTGTGCTTTTTAGTATTAAAAGCAAACAAAAACCTTGAGGTTCAAAAAAATGAGCCATTAGTAAAATTGAACTAATACATCCTCAGTGATATCAGTGGCAACAGTAAATCCACAGATTTTTAACCTCTGAGAGCCTTAAAAGGAATTTAATACATTTTATGGCATTAGGCTAGATAATGTAACACTACTTGTATTAATTTTATTTGGGGAAAAAAAGCAAATGGTGCTCTCATGGCTGTATATTAATCTCCATGTGCCAGGATTGATCTGTATAGGATGTATGCAAAGAACAACTTAAATTGAATGCTGTTTAAATATTTTATCAAAAAGTGTTTGCCTTGTGGCTGGCCAAATTATCCCCCACAGGTTGTCTGAAATTATCTACAGTAGTTTGCATTGGCCAAGAATATTTCCAGTAAAATAGAGTTTTAATGCATAATTGCTCAGCATCAAAATTATGTTAAACAGTATTGTTGGCATGATAAATATAGCAAACTACAGTAAAATATTTGTTATCTACATTTAAGCAACTGGAAATTCTATTAACCAGAATTTCTGGCCAGTCAGTCAGACATGGGGGAGGGGGCATGAGTGACTGGTGCCTCCTGAATCTGGGAGGGGACCTGCAGAAGCCACCAATGGTGGCAGCCCTGTTGGGGGGCTCCAGCTCTACTGACAGCATCAGTGTTGGCTGTCAGGGGTGTCCCAGCTGCCTGTGGAGGGTTCGGGATTGAGAGTATGATTGGGGTAGAAAGGTAAGAAAGGTTTATTGACTTAACAAAAACACAACCATGTATAGTAACAAGACAAACAATGACAGGCAAGAATAATTCACGTCAGCAACTTGTTGGCAGTCCCCTCTGATGCCTGATGTACAACAAGTTTCTCTTTTTTCACAAAGCTCAGCGAAGTCAGGCATCCCTGATCAGTGCTGTCCGAGAGGTACAGGGAAGGACCCTGGTATTCAGTTCTTGGGCTCCTTGAGATCCACAGGCTTGCTCATCCAGGTCAATGGCTAACTAACCTTTTCACAGAGCTGTATCTTCCTTCAGAATAATTTCTGGATGTTTTAGCCCATTTTTAGCTTCTGAATGGTACTGATAACTTACAGCCACTCAGGTTCTTTTTACTTTAAATGCCCTTAGACTGACCAATAGCAGTACAAGTCTTGCATTCCTTTTGATATAGTTAATTTTAACTATCCCACAGGGCCTTACTACTTCAAGGCTTTGCTAAATTTACTAGGCCTTACTTTATACAAGGCCTTACTACATCTTAAACTTTAATTAGGCTTTTAGCAACAACATATAGCTTAATATTTAAACAAATACAGAAAAACACTTGGTCTAATCTTCATAGAGCCTTCAGCAAGCACCTTTACCACACAGACATAATTTTCAGCTGTCACATGGTGGGGGCACATGCACCCCCTACCAGTTGCCTGTGTGGGGGAAGGGAGGACGATTGCATGTGGTGACTGCACTCCACATTATCTGAGAACCTCTGCCAGGTTATTTCAGATAACTGGAATTTTTACATAACTGGCAACCCCCTTATCCTGGGGATACTGGATAACAAAGATTTTACTGTACTTTTCCGCAACAGCATATTTTAACTTGTCTTGGTATGCAAATTTGCCAGTATATATGCTGGTAACTTGTGTTTTCTACCCATTGCTAGCTACATGGGCCATGACATCTCTCAGGATCTCCAAGAAGCAAGGAATTGTCAGAAATGACTTATTAGAAACAAGTGGACCTATAGTGACTGCACTTTCTAGTAACTTTCACCCTGACGTTCTCATTTGCAACAAGAAATGCAAAAATCTAGAACTCTTGGTTCCAAAATGATACCTTAAATTAGACCAACTGAGAAATTGCAAAAAGAAAATCTTTTTCTGCAAGCTTTCAGGCTCAGGGCAAGTTCAAGATGGTAAAAAGTCCCCATATGTAGGAAATAAAATTCATTTTTGCACAGAGGAAGCAGAAGCTGGAAAACTGTCCCTCTGGGTCTATGAGAGTCTGTTTGTGAGCTTGCTCAATTTCTCAGTTGGACTAATGAAAGGAATCATTTTGGAACCAAGAGTTCTAGATTTTTGCATTTCTTTTTGTCTCAGACCAGCATAGCTACCACATACATCATTTGCAACACACATTCTTTAGGTGCCTATATTATCCTTGTGTTCTGATTTGAATATTGTAGGAATCTGGTTTATTGTAGCTTGGTATGATTTATGGGATGTAATAACATCTATTTGACTCAATTTGAAAAAGCATTCTGTTTGCTTGATTTGGGTTGCATAATATTTTATTAACACATACATCATCCTTGGGAAAACTTGTGCTTCATATTCTCTAAAAGTGACAAAGGTTTTCTAGTGGTAGTACTGGTGTAGTAAGGCACAGCTGAGTCAGGGTGAGAGAATTAGGCCCTTTAGCTCTAATGGCTACCACTCTTCACTATAGGCTTGATTTCCTGTTTGCTATTGTATGTGATGATTTTTTTTTTTTCCATTGTTTTCAGTGTAACTTGGAGCAGGCCCTAAATGTTTTGTTTACCGTTTGCGTCCTAGATGGTAACTCAACTAGGTTAGTCAGTTCTAACCTATTTGTTTTACAACTCTGTACCATTTATATTTCACCTACATGAAATTACATGTATTATATACAGTATAGAAGATCATAATATAAGCAGTCTTGAGTGGGTTGTGTGCTAATTTTTAAGAATTTTAAAAATTTCATTTAAATCTTAAGAATATATATATGTCCCCTTGAAAAGAATGTTAATTTATTGGAAGAGAATTTTGTATAAATATGCTTGTTTTCTAATAATAGGCTTTCATTTTTGCAAAATACAACTGCATTTCTTGGAAGAATTTGGGTAAATTTAAGCTCAACTTACAGTACATTAGCCTGTGACAGGCTAGGTGGTAGTGATTTAGCCCAGGGGTTTTGAAAGGGTAAAAGATGATTGGAGGGCTTGGATTCCCTTTCCTCTCCAATCGGGCCCCAGAGACTCGCCCTCCATGTCCCCTGATTGGCCCTTTGGGTCACCTGGAGGGGGTTAAAAGGGGCAGCATAGCTGACTCTGAGGAGACCAGCGAGGGACCACAAGGAAGGAGTTTCAAAGCTGAGCCAGCAGGGCAGGAGCAGTTGCCCCAGAAGAACCTGAAGGAGTGGGACCTGCAGGCAGCAGTTGGACCCTCAGCAGCGCGGCGTGCAGCCGGCAGGAGAGGCTCCCTGCTGGGCTCCAGGATCACCTATGAGAGGCTGCGGCAAGCAGGAGAGGCTCCCCAGATCCAGCAAGGATCTGAACAGTGATCTGAGAGGTTCTGCCCAGTTTCCAGCTTCTGCAGCAAGAGGCCAGGCAGCTGTATGTGAGGCAGGGGCAACTGGAAAGTCAAGACCCCTAGCAGCTCAGAGTGGTAGTAACACTGGTGTCTGTGTGGTAGCGGTTCTGCCTACTGCATCGGAGATCTGAGTTCAAGTCCTAGCTAGGATAAATTGGGGTGAGTGAAGCAACACAGAGAAGTTCTTGTTGCAGTGGAAAGGGGTCATTGTGTTTTTCCTCTTTTCTCTCCCTCCAGGTACCTATGTCCTATATGTCTTGTTATTTGACGTTTTGTATTTTGTGCCTTTTATATTTTGCTAACCAGTATTGTTTGTTCTGCTGTTTGTGTTTTATATTTTGTTAACCCTGTATTTTGTCAACTGGATGAATATGTCTGTCTAACCTTTATTGAATTCTGCCCCCCTGGGGTGTTGTAGTGTCCCCTATACCCCCTGGCTTATACCTGTTATGTTCCCACCACTGTTCTCTCATTAAAAGGTATATGGTTAAGTTCCTATTGGTGATCTGGCTCTGCTCTATAGGGGGAGGAGGGTCTCTACACTTTCCACAGTGCTTGTACACCTGCTCTGATCCCTTCAATTGGAGAGGGGGTACATCTTGGAGTACCGGGATTACAAGCCTATGGTTATGCCAAGTCAGGCACAGTTTTATTGGTAGAATAGATCCTGTATGGTGAATATGGGAAAAGATCAATTAGGTGTCTTGTTTATATAGGGAAATGTTTATTGTATAATCATATTTAGAAAGGTATAATGCTGTAACTCCTTGTGTGGAGAGTCCTACTAGGAAGGGGAAAGTGCCTCAGTTCAGTGTATATTGGGTCTTGGTTCTTTGACCGAGGCTGCAAAAGGTATACAGCATTTTTGTTTAATAGCTTTCAGTTTTAAAGGTGAAATTATAAGTACTCAACATATTAACAGTTCAGTAAACAGAGCCAGAGACCCAGATTGTATATTGGAGTCTTGTTCTGTCAGTGGTGCAGTCATTTGAATGAGTCTTTTGATGTTTCTGAAAACTTCATTAGAATGTGTCCTCTAATTCCTATTGGTTAGACTAATAATTCAGTGGAACCTATGTAGCAGAGTACTATTATTATTATACTTGGCAGCACCAGTCAAAGACAAGGACTGTACTCTGCTACATATTATGTAATTGCAAAATAAGACAGCAGTCCCTACCCCAGTATCTTGTGCTTTTTGTGAAAGATGAGTAAA